GGTATAAAAGAGCTTGTAAGCTAGTATTTTGTTGTGCTGAATCAATTTTTTACAGTCAGCAAACATTAGGTACAATGGTATCTTATATTCTTTATTTCTTTCAATTAATTATAAGTTGGTAAAGATGTGCTGTACTGTTGAATATAGCTTTTGAAAGACTGCTTGTCCCCTATATCCTTATTGAGGATTCCCTCAATTCATGTATAGATAATCCAGCAAGATTTTATACAGATGGGAGAGTAGGGGAGATACAGGGTGGTAGGTATAATGACCTCTTGATCAGTTTTGTTGTTATGAGATCTGAGTTTTTTCCCCCATGCCTTGGGTATTTTCCCCGTCTTTAGAGATACACTTTGTATATCATTCCCTCAATGACCTAGTAACTGAACTGACTCTAACAGGGATGTTCATTTTGTGTACTTAGTTCAATCTACTTTCCCCTTTTTTTCATTCTCTCTAGTGCCATTTATATTTCTATATAAGCACCTTAGAAGGCTATAATTCTAGGGTCCATGCACGGTGGTTTCACCAACTTTGATGGAGAAAAATTTGTTCATATTATTTTTGTAAATCTCCATTTTTCTTTTTTATTTGCGGTCCTCCTTCCACTTTCATCCTTTAAAACCTATGGGATAACTTTGGTTAGCTGCAAATCACACCATATTTCCTTAAACTGGTTTTACCCTCCACTGAGTGTTTGAGATGATATCACTCAGTGTTCTTCACTTCTCTTTATATGATTTTACCCATGAGTTTATATTTTAACCCAGTGTTGCCTTTGGCAGACCTTTCCCCTGTTTGGCAAGTCAGCCAGATATTTGCTGACTGAGGTTTCTTCTGGCCTCTTTTGGTTTCATTGTTGACAAGTAATTTACTTTGATTAAATTTATGGACAACATGCTAATTATAGTCATGTCTATCAATTCTTTTGTCCATTTACTATATTTGATTTTTAGTAACATGTTTAAATAAGGGTTAAATCATTTTAATATGTCATATCTTTTTTCTCATTCTCCTACTTTTAAAATTTTAACTCTGAGTTGATAGTCTGAGTATACACACAGTTGATTCTGGGATAATTCCCATATTAATAACAAGTCTTTTCCTGTCAGTTATAATAAAATCTATTTCATTCTTTGATATTTAGTATTCATCAGGTCCTTAGTATACTTTTTTTTAAGAGTTCATAATAGAGGAATGACATTGTAATCTGTAAGTCTTTGGTCTTTTTCATTTTTCTTGAACCAAACTTTCCCACACTTAACTTATCCCAACTTTGTTTTGCAGTCACCAAGTATTAGAGTGCTTGTTGATTTAATTTGGATGGTCTCATCAAGTTCTATGTAGAATTTCTCTACCATTTTGTTCTCAGAAAGTGGTGTTAGTGCAGAAGCTGCAATGATATTTATGGTGGTCTTTTAAAAATACTTGCCACTTCTAGGACTGTATCCCAAAGAGATCATAAAAATGGAAAAAGGACCCACATGTACAAAAATATTTATAGCAGCTCTTTTTGTGGTGGCCAAGAATTGGAAATTGAGGGAATGCCCATCACCTGCGGAATGGCTGAACATTGGTATATGAATGTAATGGAATACTATTGTACTATAAGAAATGATGAGCAGGTGAGTTCAGAAAACCTTGGAAAGACTCATATGGACTGACGCTGAGTGAAGTGAGCAGAGCCAGGAGAATGTTGTATGTGGTAACAGCTACTTTGTGCAATGACTAATTTTGATAGACTTAGCCCTTCTCAGCAATGCAAGGATCTAAGGCATCTCCAAAAGCCTCATGATGGAAAATGCTATCCACATCTAAAAAAGAACTATGGAGTTTGAATGCAGATCAAAGCATACTATTTGCTATTTTTTTCCCTTCTGTTTTGTTTCCTCTTTCTGGTGGTTCCTCCTATTGGTTCTAATTCTTCCTTACAACTAATGTGAAAATATGTTTAATAGGAATGTATATGTATAGCCTATATCAGATTGTGAGCTGTCTTAAGGAGGGAGGGAGGAAAGGAGGGGGAGAAAAATTTAAAACTCAAAAGCTTATGAAGTGATTGCTGATAAATCAAAATAAATAAAAAATTAAAAAAATAAAAATACTTGTCAGTATTAATGTAATATGCGATGAGCATATGTTCTATAAATTACTTCTTTTAGTTTTCTGAATTTACAGTAGAACACACTCTACCAATTCTTTCTTTGCTTTTTCCAATAGTATTGGTTTGAAGAATGTTATAGAGGGATTGCCCAAATGATATTTTAATTCCCATCTATTAAAGGGTTAGTGAATTTTTAACTCAATTTAACTGAATATAACTGAATATCTTACCAAGGATGTAAATCTGGATATTTGAAGGCTGGGCACCAGCTCCATAGACCAAAGCAAGCTGGAAAGAGTGAGTATGGGTGGGACAAAAGGCTGTCTAGCACTGGTTCAGCTAAGTTTTGAGAGGTTTATTATTAAAAGGTTGACCCTCAGGTGATTTTTTTTAAACTCATGAAATTATTTAATTACAGCAGTTATCAGTCTGCATTGATGAAAAGCAGTATTGAGTGGATAGATATCCATTGCTTTATAGAATAAATGCATTTAACTAAAGTTGTTTTTAAAGTTAATTAACATCAATCATCAAGCATTTATTATTAAGTATCTATTATATGCTAGGCATTGTGGTTTGTTGGGGATATAAAGACATGAAGCAATGTCTATTGGTTCATTGACAAACTGGAATGGGTTCAGAATAGAAATGGACTGTGAAGGAATAGAAGAGAGGGAACTTGAAATTGTCATTGGAGGAACAGTCAAAAGAATTGGTTAGTATGGAGATAACTGAACAAAAGATTGTCAATAGAAGAGGAATTAAGACTTATTTATTCTATGACCAAGCAGAACTCGTAGTAATGAGTAGAAGGTACAAACACAAAATTTTGGACATAGTACAGGGAAAACTTCCCATTACTCGTTTCCAAAAACAGAATGTACTGCTTCTTTAGTTTATGACCTCTCCCTTGTTGGGGGGCATTTAAATACAGAATGTTAGGGAGGGAATTTCTGCTTCCTTATGGACTATACCAGATAACTTCTGAGTCCTCTTTTAATTCTCAGATTCTATATGCTCCCATGGAATAAATTATCCAGTTGACTTAGCTGAATAGTTTTGATGAGGAAGAGCTGAGGTTGGTGCCCAGTGCATGATATATATGCATTGTAGTAGTAATATTTTTGTAATTTCCTGATTCCATGAACTCTCATTCCCAGGTGCTCTATGAGTTCCTAGACTTAATCACTTCTCCCATGCCTAAGGGGTTCCCCTGCCGCCACACTGGTTCCCAGAATTCTTTTCTTTCTTTTTCTGGAAAAAAAAGTTAATATTAATATATGTTTAAATCTTTTCCTGTTAGGACTTCCCCCTATACAACCTCATCTTTTCCATATTATCTCCCTTGATAGAATGTAAGCTTCCTAAGAATGGAAACGGTCTTTTTTTTTGTCTTTGTATCCCTATGCTTGGTTCAGTTGCCTTTATTATAGTACAAGTACTTAATAAAATTCTTGTTGATTGAAAATAGTATTGTGAAGTGTATCCTAAAAGTATCATCATTCCCATTTTGCAGATGTGTACAGGGGTTAAAAGACTTACCCAAGGTCACACTGTAGGTAAGTTGTGATACAAACTTCTGACTCTGGGGGGCTTTTCCTACTATATTAACTTCTGTTCCTTTCACTGAGCTAGGTTGCAATATTACATTTTGTCAGGGTCCTACTGTATAACATATAATATACCTCATTTTGGAACTTTCAGGTTCATCTTACGTGAAACAAATTCATATTGGTGTTGTATGGTTGAAATTCTGTTTAAAAAAAAATCACTTGGAATACCTATAGTCATGGGAGGTAGGTTAACAACTTGATTGCCTTTTATCTTTGCTCTGGGAATGTCCCACTACAAAGTATTTCTATAAGAGGCAGGCAAAACATGCTTTCAGAATTACTGAAGCCAAACATGAAGCAATGTAATAGTCATTAAATATTAAATGTCTCAAAGTATACTACCTAATCATAAAGTCTATGCAATCAAACTTTGTAGCATTAAGGACCTAATTTGTAAGCAGATTTAACTTTAGTTTTCTATTTATTTAATAGATTATGAAAACACTTGCATGTGTCTTAATCTAAAAATGAAATTTGCTTAGTTTGACTAGAAGTGAAGCAATAGTTGTTGAAAGGCAGTGAGAAGGAAAAATCAAAAGGACCGTAGAGGTGATAAAGGCTGTTGGCATTCCTAAGGCATTATTTGTGCTAAGTACTGGAGACACAGACAAAATTTAAACAGTCCCTGCCCTCAAAGAGCTCACATTCTAACTGTATTAGCATGTCCAAGGAACAATGGAGTGATGACGATGGACCAGGGCGCAGGCACGAATCCAGGCACAATTACTGCTGAAAGGGATTCCAGAAGCCCGGGAAGTTTCTCCATTCCTTCCCCCTCCCCCCCAGTAACCCCATCCTGGAAATGCCTCTGTCTCTCCACAGAGACTAGTGAAGTTGGGGAAGCGCGAGGGGCGCTGGGGGCGTGGAGAGGCACCAAGGGGAAGTTGGAGACACTCAGAAAAGTGGAAGAGTGTGGAGGGGGAGGAAACGTAAGAGTGGAAAGGGGGACTGCGAGGGGAACCGAAGAGAAGCCGGCGCGGGCCGGGATGCGAGCTCCCGCCCTCGGGGAAGGATACTTCGGCGGAGAGGTCGAGTCCCGGGACGGACTCTGAAGGTGTCCGCATGCGCCGGGCCCGCCGGGAGCTACACGGGCCGAGGGCTGAGTGCCGGGCCGTCCAGGGAGGGGGCACGGCCGCCGCCTCCTTTGGCGCCCCAGGCGGAGCCGTCCCACGGGCCGGGGGGGGGGGCGCGGCCGCTCCTCCTCTTTCGGAGGCCCGCCCGGGGTGGGGGTGGGGCTGCCCGCGACTCCGCGGCCCCGGGCGCCGGACCCCGGGAGGCGAGGCAGGAGCGGTGCCCGCGGCGGCTGCGGCCACGGCTGCGACTGGCTCGGGAGCCGCGCGTGAGGTAGCCGGCTCCCCGCCGCGATTGGCCGGCCGCGGCGCCCGCTCCCACAATGCAGTGCATGGCGCGTCATTGAAGAGAGACCATGATGGCGGCGGCGCTGGGGCCCCCAGAAGTGATCGCTCAGCTGGAGAACGCGGCCAAAGTTCTGATGGTGAGGGCCCCGCGCCCCTGCCCCCCAGCCCCGGGCCTCGGGCGGCCCTGCTCGCACCTCCTCCCCAGGCCCGGCTGCTGGCGTCGGCCCCGCGGGCTCCCTCGGGGACCCCTAGGAGCCCCGGAGGCGGCTGCGGCGTGGCGCAGGACCCGCTCACTCGCTCCTCCGCTCACCCCGAAGCCCAGACCCCCTTCACCGCGCCCCCCGCCGCCCGGCCCGGCGCGGGGTCGCGGGAGGCTGCCTCGGCCCGGCGCTCCGCTCGCCCCTCGCCCTGCCCGCGTCCCGGGCTCGAAGCCCGCCTTGGCCGGCGTCGGGAGCGCCGGGGCGCTGGGTGGAAGCTCGCGGGGATCCGGGGGGACCGGAGATGTGCCCACCCGCCCCGGGGGAGGAAGCTCATGGGGGTGGAGGGGAAGAAAGCTGCCGACCGTGCGGCGTGAGCAGCCCACGTTTTCCATCAAGGTCGAGATCCCCAAGCGCCTTCTCCGAAGCGCAACCACTTCTGGGACGGCTGCAGTCCACAGCACGTGGGAGGGAGGAATGGAGGAAAAAACCTTTTGGGGCCAAGGTCACCGGGGCCAAATATTGCTCTTGGCCTCAGCCCCCGTCAGTAACGTCTGTTTGGAGGGGGCGGACCCCCCGGCCCAGCCTCCAGCGTCGCCCACCCAGTTTGCCCCAGGTTAGGTATTTGCCCAGAAAGCTTGTTAGGGCCGAATTAAAGGGCATCGGGTGGAGGAGGAGGAAGGGAAGGATGGGGAGGGCACTGCTACAGCAAGTTACATACCATCGCTTAACAAAGTGTGAGTTCGGAGTTGCTGGTTCAGTATTGTTTTTGTAACTTTTGATTTCCGTGTTGACTAAAAGTTTTTGGAAGTTAAAGACCGGGCTCTGGGTGAGGTGTGCTCTTTTTTTTTTTTTTTTGCACCAGAATTGTAGTTGTAACCAGAAATCACTGTAGCCTTTCTTTTTCTCTGAGAGAATCTTGGTTCCTGTATGCAATAAATGTCTTCAGTATCACTCAACTCTTCAATTAAATTTCACAGGATAGTATTTTACAGATTATTTGAGTCGTGGGTGGATGATGCTTTTGGGGAGGAAGAGGTAACCAACATACTCTTTACAGCAGTGGCTATTATTACCTCACACTTTGAAAAGTATTAAAATAGGGTTTGCAAATGCATCTTTTCTATATCTTGAAGAGTACCGTCTTTTTTTGAGGCTCTCAGTGTTTGCTTCTGTTCCAATATTCAGAAAATAATTTCTTATTCTAGCAAATAAGTACAAATATTAACAGCCAGGGGCTCACGTTTAGAGGTAGATATTTTAGATAAGTAACATTAGTCTTCCTTGTCTTCAGCTGATCAGAAAAATAAAACTTGATTTTTTGGTACTCTCCCCAGTCCCCCTTTTTATTTTTACAAAACCAACTTTTTTTGGTACTTTCATTATTCTTTCCACCATTCCCATTGAACAATAATAATTTTTGAAAAATATACATAGCTCAGCAAAACAAATCCCTACATTGGCCATGTCCAAATATTCATGGCTCATTCTGGATTTTAAGTCCATCGTCTGTGACAGAAGGTGGGTAGTTGTGATTCATATCCAGCCCCGTGGACTTGTGGTCTATTATTGCATTAATCAGAATTCTAAAAGCTTTCAAAATGGTTTTTCTCTTGAATGTTGTTATTATTGTGTAAGTTGTTCTTCACTTTGCATCAGGTCATAGAGACCGTGTCAGTTTCCTCTAAAACTGCATTCATATATCACAATTTGTTTATGAATTTCCCAATAGATAGGTACTCTTTTAGTTTCCAGTTTTTGGCTATTATACAAACTACTGTTGTGACTATTGGGTCCTTTTCCTTTTTTTGATCTCTTTGGAGTGTGAGCCTTGTAATGGTATAGCTGGGTCATAGGTTAGTAACTTTTTCAGGATAATTTCAAATTGCTATTTCTTTAATGTTATTGTTTAAATTGTCCTCTCAGTCCTACTCAGTTCTGCATCATTTCATAGAGATCTGCCCAGTTTCCTCTGAAACTGTCCATTTTGTCATTTCTTATGGCACAGTGTATTTCGTTACATGCATATACCACAATTTGTTTAGCCATAGGAGGATAGCTCCTTAGTCTCAAATTTTTGGCTATCATGAAAAAAGCTACTATAAATTGCTTTCTAGGATGTTTGGACCAATTCACTCCCTCCATCAACAATGCTTTAGTGTTCCTGTTTTCCTTTTGTCATTTTCCTGCTTTGTCATCTTTGGCAGTCTGATGAGTGTGAGGTAGAACTTGAATGTATGTTTTTCTAGTTATTAGTGATGTGAAGCATTTTTCTTATGGTTATTGATAGCTTGGATTTCATCCTTTGAAACTTACCTGTTCATATCTTTTGACCATTTATTAATTGCTCTTAGTTTTAAATTTTGAATCATTTCTTTGGTATTTTAGATACGAGACCTTTATCAGAGAAACTTAATGCAAGATTCTCCCCCCCTTTCAGTTTTTCTTCTAATTTCAATGTTATATTTTTGTGAAAAACTTTAAATTTTATCTAATCAAAGTTGTTTATTTTCTGTGATCTTCTCCATCACCTATTTAATAATGAATTTTCCTCTAGTCATAGATTTGACAAAACTGATTTTACCCCTAGGTTAATGATTATTTTGAAAATTGAATTTATATTGTATTCCACTAAGGGAGAATCTTTCATGCTCTTATTTTTTTTTTATTTTTGGAAATAATCAATAAAAACATTAAAATAGCAAATTGGTTTGTCCCAATATCTATTTTCTCCAATTTGGATGAAGGATAGCATGGCATAGTACATAGAGGGCTAGTCTCAATCAGAAAGACCTAGTTCAAGTCTTCTGACCCATAACTAGCAGGCTGTAGGACCCTGAGCAAGTCATTTAACCATTCAGTGTCCCATGTAACTCTACCAGACTAAGTTGCAGAGACTGTTTTGATTTGCTTTGGTGGAAGAAGTCCTTCACTGACAACAAAAGTTAAATCCTGCTGGGAATTCATGAGATGATTTCTCTAATTTCACTTATGGTATGAGTAGAAATAATTGCACAGTTTTTCAAGTATAGTCTCTGGGATGTTAAATGATTTGCCCATGGTCACATAGCTAGTGTCTTCAGTGGGATTTGAACCCAGTTTCCTGACTCCAGGATGTACCTGTCTGTGTGGAGAATCCACAGCAAAGTAAAGAATTTCTGGAAGCATTGAAATGAATGACCTAGACTCACATAATCAAGTAGGTTGGTGATCTAATTCCTAACCCTTCTTGTGCTACTCTTGTCCATGTCCTGTTTGTCACAGGTTTACCCAGGACATGATACTGGAGGCTTTTCTTAATTTCTCCTGACATTGTCAGTGGAGCATTCAGGCTGTTCTGCCTGTTTTCTAATAACAAAGAGACCAAAGGAGCCTGAAAGGAGCCTCTATCAGCAAACACTTGGCTTATCTGCCAAGTGGAGAAAGGTGGCTTTCCAAAAGCAACACATTTAGAATGTAAATTTCTTCCAAAGTTTTAAGAAATATGATAGATTATGAGCAGTATTGACTCATGACCTAGAGTGCAACAGAATGAGCTCTATAGTTCAGAATGACATCTGTGTGTATTCTAGTTCATGATAAGCAATAATTTATTTTTCCTTAATGTGAGTGAAAAGAAACATTTTCTTTTTCTACATTAATTTTTTTAAACTAAGAAAAATCTGTTTTTTATTTCTCCCACCTTCCGCTCCCCCTACAGTAGAGAAAGAAAAAATCAAAATCCACGTAATAAATATGCAGAGTAAAGCAAAACAAATTCCTGCATTGACCATATCCAAAAAACAAATAAATGCACACACACATATGTATATAAGGGCAGCTAGGTGGCACAGTGGATAGAGTGCTCAAATCTGCCCCCAGACACTTACTACCTGTGTGACCCTGGGCAAGTCACTTAACCCTCTTTGCCTCAGTTTCCCTTTCTGTAAAATGAGCTGGAGAAGGAAATGACAAATCACTCCAGTCTCTTTGCGAAGAAAATCCCAAATGGAGTCACAAAGAGTCGGATACAATTAAGATGACTCAGTAGCAACAACGTGTGTGTGTGTATGTGCCTCAATCTGCCATTGCTTATGGGAAATTGTGGTTAGTTATTGTGTTGATCAGAATTTTTTAATCCTTCAAAGTTGTTTGTCTTTACTGTGTTGTATAAACTGTTCTCCTGATTCTGTCCATTTCACTCTGTATTATTTTATACAAATCTTTCCAGTTTTCTTTGAAATCATTCCTTTCGTTGTTTCTTAGCACAATAGTATTCAATTATATTTATATAGTATTTGTTTAGCCAATTTCCCATAGAAGAATGTCTCCATAGTTTCTGGGTTTTTGCTGCTACAAAAAGAGATGCTGTGCATATTTTTACATGTAGGTCTTTTTCTTCTTTCTTTGATCTATCTGGGAACTGGGAGGATTGATATTGTCCTTTACAATAGGGAAGATAGATGAGATAGGGATTCGAAAGAAAGATAAATTGTTTTAGTCATATTGGGTTTAAGATGTTTCCCTCTTCATGGTGCCATGGATAGAGAACTGGGCCTGGAGTCTGGACGACCTAAGTTCAAATCTAGCCTCAGACATTTACTAGCTTTGTGACTCTGGGCAAATCACTTAATCTGTTTGCCCCAGTTTCCTTATCTGTAAAATGGGGATAATAATAGCACATACTTCCTAGGGTTATTGTGTTAAGTGTTATATAAATGTTGAGGAGTATTATTATTATTATTATTATTATTATTGTTATTGTTATTATTATTGGACATCCAGTTTGAGATGTCTAAGAGGCAGCTGGAAATGGGAGTTTGGCGGTCAGCAAAGAAGTTGGGGCAAGAAAGGTGGATTTGGGAATCATCAGCGTAGAGGTGATAATTAAATCTATGGGATCTGATGAGACCACCGAATGAAATAGTATAGAGGGAGAAGAGAAGATGGCCCAGGATAGA